TTTCGAGAGATCGTAATAAAACTGCATTTCGTAACACACTGGTTACACATCGTTTCATTCAGTTCTTTACAAGTAGCTAAAAAGAATCACCAATTTCAAATAAAATAAAAAATTATTACCATTAACTGCAAAGGGCCTATTTGGCTCCAGGACCTGCCGCGTTTCTTGTGTATTAGCCATTCTTAGATTTAGTAAAAAACTTGGTCGTGTTGACATTGCAGTGCATTCTGGGGCTGTTTTAGAGGACGAAAGAGACCCCATCTTAGTCCCCTAACACAGCCCCACATTACACTGTAATGCAATTTCCCCCCTCAATCTCGGAATGGCTAAGAAATGTCCACATTTTTGATTTGTTTCGTTCTTTAGATCCAAAGAAATGCTGGAGACCTTCAAGTGGGTGTGCACGCTACGTTGTCGTCTTCTCGGGCTGAAATCAGGCAGAGGAAGTGCGTCATTGCTTAGCACTGCCAGCCACGAACCCGCTAACAAATCAGAAAGTATTGTATCTGAGACATCCAACATCAGTGAAGAGAATTCCGACACCAGACAGACAAGCTCAGGTACAGTAGTAGTTTTTCACCTTATTTTATTTTATTTTCAGTTCATTTTTTATTTTATTTTTCATTTCATTTTTCGTTTCGTTTTTCATTTCATTTTGATTTTCCCGTTTTATTTCTATTTTGACATATTCATCCCATTTAATCGTAGCTTTTTCAATCATTCCATCATTTCCTCGTTTCCTTTAACTTTTTATCCCATTATGTCTTTTACCCCAAAATATTCCCCATCCAATTCCATCGTATCCTCCCATTTATTTTCCCAGAGTACTTAAATGACCAGTTATTTACTGAAGCATGTAAAGGCGTAATACAGCGTTGCATGTTCCTGCTGCTTTACGTGCGCACAGCTTTTCCCCTGGACCAAGATACTCTTTCTTTCATCGCCAACACGAACAGTGTCCTTGTTGATCCTGATTCACATGGCGTTGACTCTACTATGGAAGATGTTGCTCTGCATATACACATTGATGATACTGATAACAGTACTCCAGCTACTGTGTCGCCGGTGCTTAGCCCCCTCAACAGCCCTAGGAGTGAGGTATAAATGTTTTTATGAGAACAAACTTATATTTTACAACCATCATTATCCTTATGGGGCTCTTCCGTGAGGTTTGCTCCGCACGCACTACAACTACATTCTATATTTACCACACACAAAACTAAACTTACATGTTGATTTTCATGGAGGGAGGGTACGAGAGAACTCTGAGAGAACCCTCGTAGCATAGGAGAGAAAAACACATCAAATGAACTCGATATTCAGATTTGTGGTTCAGTCGAGAATCAAACCCGCGAAATTTTGATTCATGTAATATTTTCAATTGATGTTTTTCTTTCAAGGATGAAGCAAGCTCTTCCCATTTGCATCACGTCAACCAAGAAGGTAATCTTTATTATTTACATTTGAGTGGCATACCATGGAATGTCCCATGAGACACTTTTATATACACGAAGTGACAAGTAGGGCATTTCGTGATATGTCACGCATTTCATGGAATTCCATGGTTTGTCACACAATCTAGCGCTCACATTTTTCTTACCTTCTCGTCGGGTTTCTTATCTTATGAAGGACACGTAAATTTTTTTATCCTCAAATTCAACCAATTTTCGTCAATTTTCAATATCTATTTTCAAGATGAAAAGAAACGACTTGAATCTGTCAAGGAAGCCTTAAGGCGCATGCGCCACAGACGTGAGAGATTCGCACAGAATCACGGTAAAGGAAACTCTCGACACCCACCAAAGTCCTCATGCTCTGTCAAGATAACTGCATCAAGTATAGTTGACTTTGTGACGGAAAGTCTGCTCAAGGGAAGTACTGAGGGACACACTCACGCTGATCATCAGGCGACCACGGCTCCACATGTGGTTTTCAGTGCCATGCAGKTTCAACAACACAGAGCAGAGGTGAGTTATATAGAGGTTATTACACTGCTAGTTGTACAAAGCCACACAAGGAAAAGGAGAAAATTTCCTCGCGCTGACATCAGCAAAAAAAAAAAAAGAAGAACGGTTAACAGACCGTGTGTTATCGCTCTGTAATTGCACTCGAAAAATGGTCGTATTCAATTCAATTCGATTTTATTTTTGCACGATTATTACGATTAATTATATTTACAATACACGGGAAATTGAGTGTGACGTATAATAATCATAGATAAGAGCTCAGCTTCACATCTGAGTAAAGGTCTTCCTCGATTGGAGGGTATTCTTTCTCCGGTTTTTCTCCAACTCCGCTAAAACCAAACATACTAAATTCCAATTCAATTCGTGTGTTAGTCTTTCTTTAAAACTGAGGCAATGACTCTGATAAAAGAAGATAAGTAATCCCCAAGATAACTAAAGACGACCGGCTACCAAATGGACCGATCCCAGCTCGAGTGTCCACCCAAACAATGGCTAGTTTTCCCAATGGAATACAGAATGTCCGACCAACAAACTCAAATTCATAAGATTTTCTATTAGCTACCGATGTTTTCTTGATGTACCTTTAGAATACATTGATTCTAAGACAGACATTTACAATTTTCAGCAATCGGTGTCTGTTCCATGCTGTATATCAAAAAATACTTTTAGTTTGCCGACGTAGCAACAGTAACTAAGGAGGTAGAACAATGAATGTGGGATCGCTGTATAAAATCAAGTCGATTTTTTTACTTCTGCTTTCAACAGCTCCGTTTGGAAGCCTTGAACTACATATTGTCATTACTGGAGGGAAAAGACTCGACCAAGGAACATTCCGGACATCCTGCAGTGTGTTTCTCGTCTCTTCTCTTGTCAAGCCAGCTCCAGCTTCTCTCTGGTGCATTTGGTCTAGAGGGCCTGGGCTCAAGCCAGCAAGAATTCAGTGACCAAGTCCACCTTCTTCATTATCAGGTACAGGTTAAACGTAAAGCCCTTTTCATTCCAGAAGATAGAAAATTATTTTCCTAAATTTCACACAAATTTTAAGTGTCATCATTGTCATCGTCATCATCATCGTCACCAACATCGTCATCATCATCGTCATTATCATCATCATCATGATTATTTTTATATTTAGCCTTGTATGAACCATTTCATTGACTGTTGTTTCTTTTACGCCTAGGATGACATCAAGGCTACAACTACTAAACTCCAGGAATCGATCCAGTCATGTGTACATCGTTTATACACTCACTTAGTAAAGATGCTGCAGGATGATAACCAAAACTCCCTTGGCAGAAAAGGTATGAAGGCTGCGACAACTGTCTTTACTTTCAACACACCTTTATTTAGTGCACACCCTTAAAGTGCCTATCACCCTTCTGACGATATTCTCAGTACTGATTCTACATGGGGTAAGATGTTGAATAACCCGAAAAAATTACACAGTTTGAGTGCGGCTTCTTGAAGTTATGAAGGTTTTTCCACGCCATATGCTAATGCTGTAACGTATGAGGAGTAATCATTTAATATACAAAACACTACTGGTACAGATAAATTAAATTTGAAATACGTCATTGTTTTCCCCATTGCTCTTACAGAAATGAATGCAAGTTAGTTTTCCCATAGAAGCCGGTGTTTCGAATTACGAGGAACAACAAATAACCATAAATGCCTCCTCATACGTCACAGCATTAGCATATGACATGGAAAAACCTTCATAACTTCAAGAAGCCGCACTCAAACTATGTAATTTTTTCGGGTTATTCAACATCTTACCCCATGTAGAATCAATACTCAGAATATTGTCAGAAGGGTGATAGGCACTTTAAGCGGACACCATTCAATGACCTGAAGGTGTCTCCTTAATTCTGGCGGGCTCGGCGGTGTCGTATGTGATTTGAGGTGTTTGTGTTGGTTCTCTCCTGTGCTTGGAGGGTTTTTCTCCGGGATCTCCGGTTTTCCCTCCCTCCTCAAAATGATCAATTTCTATATTCTAATTCGATCTATCGGCTGCCTTAACATACCCCACTTCCGAGATATGCTTCGATTGTCAAGCACAAAGGTTTCAGTATGAAGCTACATGCTAAATTAAATTATTTTTTATTTCCTGTCACGAATGACTGAGCATTTAGCACGTAGCCTTATACTGAGGTAGGCTATTACAAAACCTGTTAGGCATTAAGCCGTCCACCCAGGAGTGGTAAATGCATTAGAATACAGCTACCACTATATCATACAGCCACTCTAAACTAAGCGATAATTACTGCATGTTGAATATTTCAGGTGCCAGACAGCGCCAGCAGCTCCAGACGGTTTTTGCACTGGGCAACAAGTTACAACCTGCCGATATCTCGCTAGCAGTCACATGTCACCTTCCCTCCATCCTGTACAGCATGTGTAGTCAGGGTTTGATGGCATCCCAGCCTTTCCCTTATCAGACAACACGAGCCAGTGGCAAATCTATGTTACCCGTCATCTTGCAAGTAGCCAGTATTAGATTACTACAGATTATTGCTGTAACAGTTGGGTGAGTGGAGATTTTTTTGTCGCGTTTGGTGGTCAAACGCTAAACACCGTGTGCTGTCAGCCAGAAGTAATTCTATCGAAAACTTGCGATTCAGCCGATGAACGTTCCGTGTGAGGCAGGAACGTGAACTGTACGACATGCCGTAACACTGAAATGGCTTCCCATAAAAATGGTTAACGTATGAGTGGGAAACGTACGGTACTGTCTTACGGCACATACACGGTACGACATTCCGTAACATTGAAATGGCTTCTCATAAGAATGGTTATCGTATGAGTGGAGAGACATGCGGTACTGATTTACGGCACGAATACGATACGACATGCCGTAACATTGAAATGGCTTTCCATTGTCTTTCGGTATTTCATCCAACCACAACCCGTAGTAACCTCTACGATAAGATAACATACGGCTATAGTACGACTACGAATTTGTTGTATTGTTTCAAATTCATACAAAATACTCTAGTCATGCTAAAACTGCTCATTCTCTGACTGTGGATGCCCAGAGAACAGGGTCTATCACCCTATCGAAGATTCTCACCCCAACATTATTTTTTCTTTTAGAGAACACGCCGATAAGTTATCAGATGAAGTGGTGGACTGCATGGTGAATCTTCACTTCAAACAACTCGAAACACTGCTTGACGGAGCGAGTAACTGTACGACTGACAAATCCGTTTCAACAAACTCTGACGAGGTGGAAAAAATGTTCAGAGCAAACGAGGAAAGACGGGTGGCTGAGACAGCGCTTTGTGATTTTCTTATCTTTCTGAGAAGGTAGATCTAACTAATACATTCCTTTGCATGTGACGTCAAAGCAGCTCAATTTGGAGGAGAAAACAAAGGAATTTCAATCTCCTGAGAATTGGAAACCTATTGTTATCTCCTCTAAATTGAGCTGCATTCCAACGTGCTGCAAGAGGTATATTCCTTGCATGGTTTGATATTAAGGGCTGGTTCACACTTTAACATAAGCATAAGCATAAAAGAAAGAACAAGGAAAGAACAACGGAAGGAGCTCTACTCACATACGAATTGCGAGTGTGGGAATCCATCCGTGAGGCCATTCCAGCTGATCTGAGAAAAAATGTTAGCCAATCAAAATCAAGAAAATTTGCAAAACTGAGGTGTCACTTTACCTCTTGAAATTTTTAATTTCAGTGCCACCAATTAAAAAAAAAAACGTTGCTAATAAGTGCTTGATAACAGTGACACAATATGTAATGATTTTGATATTTTATTGCAATGGTGGACGGGTTTTTATTTTATTGGTGGTCGTTTTTTTGCAGGCTTCATGACACCTTAGTTTTGAGGTGACGTCATTGATATGTCACTATCTCAGATCAGCTGGTGGCTGTTATGTCTAGAACGTCTATGCTTTCCTGATGCGCGCTGCCTTGTCGTGCTCAGCCTTGAGGCACTTGGTATGAAGGCATTAAATTCCCTTTTAATATCGTTCTTTTCCCTCGTCGGTATTAGGTTCTCTACGTCTAAGGCTACTCGTTCAAAGATGGTGACCAAAGCATGGCTGGATGTACTTCTCAGTATCGTGGACATCCCCTCCAGACTTGATAATGACTTGTTTGTGTTATCAATGAGAACTAGAATGCTGACTTTGAATCTACTAGAGATAATATTGCCTGCCTGTTGTGCTGACAAAGATGGGGAGCTGATGGCAAAGGTAAGAAAGTGTTAAGACTAGGTGTTTTTGTTGTTGGTAATGATGAGGGTGATGCTGAAGATGCTGTTGATTACTATATTTATTGGTATTAATTAGGGTGATTATGATTCAATGATGGTGATGGTGGTAATAATGATGATAGTGGTGGTGATGCCAGCACATGATGGTGCTAGTGATGATGATTATGGTAATGATGATAGTGATGCATGGTGGTGGTAGTTGTGATGATGATGATGATGTTATTGTGGATGATGATGATGAGGATGATGATGAT